TAGGATGGGGATGGTAGTGGTGGGTGGAATGGTTCTGGGAGTTGGTGTTACACATAGAGATAGCAACAAAACATCTCAGGGCTATCATCTCTCAAAGTTACCTCCCACACCTTGCCTCTTGCTCTTCCCTCCCTCCCTGTGCTCCAGCCACACTGGCCTCCTAACTGCTCCTGCAGCCTGCCAGGCATGCTCCCACTTCCTCAGGGCCTTGGAACTCTGCCATGATACTCATCCCCCAATCCTCAGATGGCTTGCTCTTCCCATCCTTCAGGCTCTGCTCAAATGTCACCCTTCTCAGGGAAGTGAAGCCTTCCCTGAGCACCTAATTTAAAACTGCACTGTGACTCCATCCCTCCTGATTTCCCCACAGCACTTCTAAATATCTGACATATTATAAATAGTGTTCACTTTTTTTTTTTTTTTTTTTTGTCTGTTTTCGTGTCCGCCAACGGATCTCAACCCTCAGTGTCGTGCCCGTATCGGACCGGGACCAGCAACAGGATCGCAACCCTCAGTGTTGCTCCCATACCTCGCTCAGCCAGTGAGCGGGAACCGGTCTGTATGTGGGATCCAAACCCTCGGGGGGAGCACCGCTGCGCTCCCAAGTGGCGCACTGTAGCAGTGCGCCACCGGGCCGGCCCAATAGTGTTCACTGTTTATCTCCCCCGACTCCCACTAGAATGTCAGTTCCATGACAGCACGAATGTTTATTTTGCATATTCAATGCTGTAGCCAGGTGTCTACAACAGTGGCTGGCACATAATAAAAGGCTTAGTAAATGTTTGTCAAATGAATGAAAGAGAATGGGAGAATGGGGGTATAGAGAGCTGGTCAGAGACCATGTTCCAAGCCCACCCTCTCCAGGACACCACAGGGTATTAGTACTAGACACACTAAGAGGATTAGGCTCCCACTGACTATGGTTAGGCCCAAGTGTTTTCTGTCAAGAAAGAAGGCTCTGCCTGCCTCCCCAGCTACAGGCAAACGCTCAGGAAAGGAAGAAATGATCTCTGTGGATGAAAACAGCCAAGCAAAATAATTCACAAAACAGTTATGTCCTCTCTTAGGAATAAAGAATACAGTGATCAAGATAATGCATGTTTGAGACCTTTGTCTTTATAGTCACTAACTACAAAGAAACCTGAGTTTTCGAAGGCAGTATACTATGTGACTGGGCTCAGAGAGGCTAAGAGAAAGAGTTTCCAGGATTTCCAGACCTCTTCCCTCCTAGACAGGGAAACTGTTAGGCACTGGGCTGCTCTGTACCACTCTCCCTCTAGGTGTTGATTCAGAATCACTGGGCTGCTTCAGATACAGTGACTATGAAAGCAAGTCAGTCATCACAAGCATTAGAAGCTGTGGGTCAAATATCACTGACTAATCAACCTGTCATTGGGCAGTTACCCATCCCCATGAAGAGGTACCACTGATCTAGTCTCCTATCAATAAATGTCTATCTGGGCACATCAGCTGCTGCTAACCACAGCCTGCCAAGATATCCAGCATCGTCCACAGGCATTGGTGGCTGAGAAATCTCTCTCTCTTTCCTCTTAATAATGTCACAGAAGACGCAAATGCAGTTCTTGACAACATAATGTTAGCTTCACAGAGACGTGTCTCTCTGAACACTCAGCCAGTTATTCAGGGCTTCAATTGCATGGATTTTCTTACTGAAAAAACAGTGGTAGGGCTTGAGGAAGCTGGGTGCTTCACATTGCATGGAGATACACAATCTGCTTTTGGTTGCGCTCATGCTCATCATCCACCCTCTGAGTCAGGAAAAGAAAAGTTGGGAGAACCATTTTCATTCCACATTTAAAGAGAATTAAATGGGCACTGTACTCTTGCTGTAAGTCCCAATGACACCTTTTTCTGGAGTTAGATTCAACACTGCTGATTCTCTGGGTAAAGCCAGAAGCTGAGGTGGCCTTGCCTCATGGAGAGTTGTCACCCTGGCAATGACCTCACAAGGTCCCTGCTTGATCTAAAATTCTAGATTTCCCACTGTACCCACTATAATTTCCCTTTCCATCTTCACGGATTACCTCATTTGCACATTCAATCTGTCAAGGGAAGCTTATTCTGAGTTGCCACAGGCTTTACATATGAGGTGAGGCTGGGAAGGAGCAGCAAGAAAACAGTTATACAAATGCTCTGGTAGGAATTATATCTAGAATATATGGGATTATTGAAGAGAGATGTCTCAATAAGCCCAAGAGATGATGGAAGGTTAAAGAAGCATTCCCAAAGGATCAGAGACTTAAAGAGGGAATGAGAAAGAGCCAGGCAAAAGGAGTAATGAGTAGGTAGTGAAGAGATGAAGCGATGATAACACCATGTTCAAAGATTTGAAGGAACGGAAAAAAGAGAAGGTGGGACTCGTGTGCAGAACCCTAAATAGCCGGATAGACTGAGATGGAATACACATAAGGGTAGTGGCCTAGGAGGGATGCAGACACAGGAGAAAAGCCTTTGTAGACAGAGGTAAGTCAGATCATTCTTAAATGCCTTAATATGAACTTTCTTCTGAAGGCAAACGGCAGCCACAAATCCTCTCAGGGAGGGGTGTGGCCACATCAGTTTTGCGGAAACAGTGTGAGAAATGGTTGTGGGTGGGGAAGTGAGGGCCAGGTGGAAGTCTAGAAGATCAGGGAGACAAGTGAAACCACAAAGGTATGACTGTGGTAACAGTAGCGAGATGGAGAAGAGGGGAAGGATTTGTGAGATGTTTAGGAGGCAGCATGACTGGTTGAGAGCAGGTGAAGGAGAGGAAGGAATTTAGGAAGAGTCCCATGTTTTTGGCTCAGGCAATAAACAGATAGGTGGTGACACTGAATGAGATGGGAAATCAAAATGAGAGGTGACTTGAGTGGGGAGGGGGAGAATGATGGAATTCTATTTTAGACGTCTTGGTTTGACATGCACATGGAACACTGTTAGAAGGTGGCAATGTTAGGGAGGGGGTATTAGGTAAGTGAATAGAATACAGAGAACATTAAAAGAGAGTGGGCAGAGCTACTAAACTGCCGTTTGCTTCAATCTTCAATGGCAAGAAGACTGGTCTTCAAATTAGAAATGGCAGAACAAACATAATAAAGAGAAAATTGAAGTCCTAAATAGGTGAAGTGAAAGAAAGAGAGTATCTAGTCAATTTAAATGATTTTAAGTCTCCTGGCTCAGATGAGTTACAGCCCAAGCCTGCTGAAAGAAATTGCAGATGTAATCTCAGAGACACGATTGGCAATCTTCAAGAAACTGTGGAGACTATAAGGAGTGCCAGAAGACAAAAGAAGAACAACTGTTTTCTAGATTTTTAAAAAGGGATAGATTGTAATGGGAAATGTACAGATAAGTATCACATCATCTATAACAAGAATTCTAGAATAGTTTATTAAATAAACGGTTTATGAGTACTTTAGTTAATGCATGTAGCTGAGGAAAAAGAAAGAGGAGTGTTGTTTGCTATCAATGGAAGTGTATTTGGTAGCTTCTCCAGACTGATTGTGGCTTGTCGCTTTCCCCCCATCTAAGCAAAAAATGAGTTATGTGGCAGGAAGTATGAGCTCAAGGCTTCTCTATCTGTGGTTTGTTGGTATTCAGCCTATGACATGGCCCTTTATGAAAAGAGCTTGACGGTTTAAATGAAAAAATCCACAGTCTGAATTCTCCAAGAAATCCAGTATGAACTCCTCAGGGTGCCTTGGAAAACCAGCAAGTAGCATTAACTTCTGTGGTTATTAGCCTAAACACCAATAAACATTTGCCTGTTAATATCCTACTAGCTTATTTTTGTGTGCTATTTCTCTCTTTCTACATACTGAATTTACAGTGAAAACAGGAAACAAATAGTCCTACTAACACCTCCACCCCAGGCAGGCTAATATATATATATATATTATGTATATATATATATATAATTAACATTAGCCCTTCATAGGCCTTCTTAGAACCTTAAAAAAAGACAAGAAAAGAAAAAGCAACCTACTGAAGACCCTGATGGCTCTCTTGAACTGAAAGTATACTCTCTGGGGGATGTCACTAGTCACACATTTAAAAATTACATAATACTATAAATCAAGCAAAGTTAAGGTTTCCTTCTTAAAACAAAACCAAAAGGAACAACAAAAAGCCAAGACACAAAGTTCACTAAGAAGATCTTTTAGAACTAGGTCTCATATTCATATCTGTTTGGTTCATATGTGAAGTCATTTAATAAAGTTAAAAATGATTTCTTATTCTACATAACCTATCTTGACATTATTTAAGTCTCTAACCAATACAAACTGAGACTTGAAAAGAAAGTAAGCCACACCAGAGAGACCTCTTATCTAGTCTTTCCACAAGTCTAATTATGGTGCATCTCCCCACCAGAAAATCCAAACGAGCATCCTGTATCTTATTGTCCTCCACCCCACTTCTGCTCTCACCCCTTTCTCAATATTTAGAGTAAAGAACAGTAGAGTTTCTTCACCAAAGTTACTGAAATCATCATTTTACCAAAATGCAATTTGCATGTTGTATCAGTCTTTTTTTTTGTTGCTTATAACACAATACTAGAAACTGCATAATTTATAAAGAACTGAAATTTAATTCTTACAATTTTGGAGGCTGGGAAGTCCAAGGTCGGGGGTCCCCTCTAGTGAGGGCTTTCTTTTTGGTGGGCATTCTCTGTAGAGTCCTGAAGTGGTACAGGGCATCACATGGTGAGAGGGCTAGAGCATCCTAAGTTCTCTCTTCTTATCTTTATAAAGCTACCAGTCTGCTCCCATGATAAGCCATTAATCCATTACCCATTAATCCATAAGTGAATTAACTGAATGGATTAATCCATTCATAAGGGCGTAGCCCTCATGGTCCAATCACCTCTCAAAGGTCCCACCTTTCAAATATCATATTGGGAATTAAGCTTCAACATGAGCTTTCTAAGGGACAAACATTCAAACTGTATTACAAGTGTACCTTCCATTTTAAAATTAATGAATGAGAAGGAATCTTCTTACCGTATTGACCCAATCATGTATGGCTGTGCCAGCTGAACAACAATTGCGCCACTTCCTAGCTGGTGACACGTGTAGCCGGAATCCCAATCATAATTCTTAGTGTCCCCATTCAGCAAGGCATTTCGGCTCCGACTGACTCCTTCAATCACACTGGCACAATCAGCAATTGTAGCAACATTGTCCATGGGAACTGTGAATCCAAACACAAGATGTGGCATTAGGATAAGAGAAGCCAAACATATCCTGATAGTGTGCTCAGAACCAAATTAATCACTACTTCAAATCAACAATAAAAGGCAAATGTAGAACATCTCAATTATCTTAAGACATGAATACATTTTTCATGCCAAACATCTTTAAAAACAGAAAAGTTGAACCTAAGGTTTGAACGGACCAAACCACATGTAGCAATTAACTCTAAACTATTTTATTATAAAGAAACATCATAGCCCATAAAATATAGAACGGATAGGTCATGGAATATCACTACAATGAAAAACTATACAGCAATTGAGATTAATGAGCTACAGCAACATATAAATGGATGAATCTCAAAAAACATAATGTTGAGTGGAAAAAGCAAGGCACAGACACAGAGTATGAGTTTGTTTATATAAAGTTTTAAAAAACTCAAAACTAAAAATTACTTTGATTAGGGATACATATATTAATGTAAAACTAAAAAGAAAATCCAGGAAATTCTTACACAAAATTGAGGACAGTTTGTCTGGAAAGAGGGGAGATGATATCTTGGAGGAATGCCAGCTCAAGAGATTCGTTCAAATATTAACTGATTTCATTTCCAAGAAATACTGGTCTTGTTCTGTTTCTTAATCTAGGTGATAGGTACACAGGCATTTGTTTTATTAGTATTCTCTAAGCTGTAGATTATTTACTTCATCTACTCGTCTGGAAATTTGTTTAAAGAAACATTATATACATACATACATATATCTATATACGTATATATGTAGATTCCGAATTTTAGAAATCATAAAGCAGGAAAGTGATCCTGGACATTGTACCAATCCTCAGAATATATAGTTGCCCTCAGCTGTGATTCATTTCCTTTTGTTGTTTGTTTGTTTATTATTCTGGGCACTGCAACACATAGGCTCTTCCCTTTGTTCATGAACTGCTGTATCTTGAAAAAACAACTGTTTTGATTCTGAATCTCTCTCTATACTTTAAGTCCACATCAACCTGCTCATTTATAAAAGTCAAGAGCTTCCAGGAAGTGATGGCTTTCCAATATGATGTAGATTTTCTAAACACAGAGAAGAGAATAATAAAAGGTAAGGGCCTTTTAAGTCCCCTGAGACCTTTTCTGTACATTTAAGTTATCTAACCAAAATATGCAGTTTTCTTCAGACATTTAAATTATTTAACCAAAATCTACAATTAACCCTAGCTACTTACATTCAAGATTTGTAGCTTACTTTAGACAATTTAAAAGTGGATTGGCAAAAAAAGACAATTTCTCATTAGATATATAAACCTGCTATATTTTTCTGTGTAATATTATACATAGTCTCTTAAAAGAAAGAGGGTGAGCAATACTACCACCATACCAAAACATTTCTAACTTTATAATGATGTGGAATAAATAATTTTACATATATCTTCTAAGCAGTGCATTTATCTTCCAAAGTTGGATATGCCTGTACTTAAGCCCTTATCTCATAGACCTGTACTAACTGCTTTGCTCTCTGCAGATGAGGAAAGCCACCTGCAGATAAGGAAGGAAGGGAGGGAAGAAGGGAGAGAGAGAATAGATTTTCTGGTAATGAATCCCTTGACTATAAAGCTTAAGCAACAAGCACAAATACTGGTGAAATTACCTGTAAAGACAGTTTCCTGGCAGAGAAGGGACTCAGAAAGAAGCTCTCTATGACTTTGGAAAGAAACAGAGGTGAAGGACTATATTTTAGAGTGTAAGTCATGATACCTCAATGTCATTGAAAAGGGGCAGTATTCCGTGATTTGAAAGTCAGAACTTAACTTTTAAGTGGCACAAGATGTACAGCAAATTGAGCTGAGACATAAGATAATACTATAGGTAATAGCCAAGACATGGAACCAACCTAAATGTCCATCGATGGATGAGTGAATAAGGAAACTGCGGTATATATACACTATGGAATACTACTCTGCCATAAAAAAATGAAATTTTCCCATTTGCAACAACATGGATGAGCCTGGAGAAACTTAACGTTGGGTGAAATAAGCAAAGCACACAGGGATAAATACCACATGTACTCACTCATAAGTGGGAGCTAAGAGAGAAAGAAGGAAGGAAAGAAAGACCACAGTGGTGCATTGGACTTGCAGAGAGAGAGAATATACCTTGGTTACAAAGTGGAGTGGGTGGGAAGGGGGAGGGGGAAGGAGGCTGGGGATAATTGGATGGGGGACACAGGGTACAAACACAATTTGTGGTAATAGGCATGCTGCCAGTATGAATCTGGCCTTCACATCTTGGGCATGAGGGGTGACAATCAGCATTTGTCTCATAAATATTCATAACCAATAATAATAATAATAATAATAAACTGTAGGTAGGTTATGCGGCAGTAACAGACAGCAGCCCCCTGTAACCCCACCACCACCACTCATTTCCTCAGTGGCTTAACACAGCACACATTTATTTTTCATTCACCCTATGTATTCAGCCCAGTGACGCCTCTGCTCACTGTATCACTCAGGGATCCCAGTGACAGAGGCTTCATACTGACATGTGTTTCCTCAATCACAGCAACAGTAGGAAAAGGGTGAGCTAGGCTCTTAAAACTCTTCTCTGAAAGCAACACAGTCACTTTGCTCACTTTTCAGAGACCAAGGCAAGTCACATGGCCTTACCTAACTTCCAAATGGATGAGAAAGTGCAACCCTATTGTGTGCCCAGGAGAAGAACCAGAATATTTGGTGAACAATGTTAACCTCTGCCACAAACATTAAACCAGACTGAAAGAACATTCAATAGACAGATATATCTGCTTGTTTGTTTAAAGTACATATGTGAATATTTCAAAATTTATATATCTAGTCTCCTGCTAAGGGACATTTAGATGGTTACCACTGTTTGCATTACAAACGTGTCTTCTTGCATTCCTAAGAGTTTCTTAAAGGAACACATAAAATTTATATACAAGTGTACATATGGAAGTAAAATTACACTCATGGCTATGAGTTACCTTCAGCTTCTCTACATGTGGCCAAATTATTCACCAAAGTGGTTATAAAAATTTACACTCTCAACTATTGCTCTACATCCTCATTAATTCTTGGTAATTTCAGACATATGAGTGTGAAATAAGATCTCAAAGTGATTTTAGTTTTTCATTTATTTGCTAGATGAAGTTGAACATTTTTTTCCTCTTTTTTCTCTCTGGAATCATTCTCAATCTCTATTCTGTAAACTGCCTATTTTTATCTTTTGCCTATTTTTCTATCATCTCTCTGATTTGCAGGATGCCAATCCACTGTAGGTCAATACATTGAGTTAAAATATTTAATCTTTCCTTTATAATTTGTGCTTTTCCTTCCTTGTTTATAAATTCTTTCCTATACCAAAGCCATAAAGACATTTTCCTATATTTTTTCCTAAAAGTTCTCAAATTTTTCTTTTTACATTTGGTTTATTTTTGGTATGCTGTAAGATAGGGATCATTTTTATCTATTATTCATAAGGATGAATTTCACCAGTACTATTTAATGAGCAGTCCATCCTTCCCCCTACTAATTTATGTTACTTTAGTACCATACAAAGTTTTCATATATATTTGCATCTCTTTTTAAGATCTGCATTTTGGGGGCCGGCCTGGTGGCGCACTGCTACAGTGCGCCGCTTGAGAGTGCGACGGTGCTCCCGCCGAGGGTTCGGATCCCACATACAGACCGGTTCCCGCTCACTGGCTGAGCGAGGTGCGGGTGCGACACTGAGGGTTGCTATCCTGTTGCCAGTCCCAGCCCGGTACAGGCGCGACACTGAGGGTTGCGATCCGTTGCCGGACACGAAAAAAGACAAAAAGGAAAAAAAAAAATTGACATCATTTGGTATCTTTTTCAAATATTAGAAATTTTATTTTTTTCTTACAATATGTAGAAAATAGAATTTGCCTAGCCTTGTGCCTCTACCATGATGTCTTAATTACTATAATTTTACACTAATCTTAAAATCTCATGAGGTTAGTGCCTCTCCTCCCCCTCCTTTCCTTTCTTCTCCTTTTTTTTTTTTTTTTTTTTTTCCTCCTTTGTCTCTTTTTTCGTGTCCGGCAACGGATCGCAACCCTCAGTGTCGCGCCCGCACCGGACCGGGACCGGCAACGGGATCGCAACCCCCAGTGCTGCTCCCACACCTCGCTCAGCCAGTGAGCGGGAACCGGTCTGTATGTGGGATCCGAACCCTCGGCGGGAGCACCACCGCGCTCCCAAGCGGCGCACTGTAGCAGTGCGCCACTGGGCTGGCCCTTCTTCTCCTTTTTTGTTCAAATTTTTCTTAGATATTTTTAGCCCTTTCAAGAAATTTTTTCATTTTGTTTAAGTTTTCAAATATATTTGCACAAAGTTTTTCACAGTATGTCTCTTTTTGATTCCAAATATTGTTTATTTGTACCTTTTCTTTCTTTTTTATCAGTCCTATTTGTCTATTTTATTAGTGCTTTCAAAGAACCAACGTTTGGTTTTGTTGATTATTTATTTCCTATTTTACTAAATTCTTTTCTTCTTTTTATTATTTTCTTCCGGCCACTACTTTGAATTTACTCTCTTTTTTTTTTTTTCTTTCCTAACTACTTGAAGTGAATGCTTAACTCATTAATCTTTTTCTTTTCTAATAAATGTGTTTAAAGCTAATATCTCCTATTTTACCTTTATCTTCAAGTTTTTATACATCGTGTTTTGAAGAGTACTGGTCAGGTATTGTGTAGAATGTCCCTCAATTTGGGTTTTCCGATATATAGTATATCAAAAGTTGGTCATTTCTAAATATTTTCTAATTTCCATTATGACTCTTTCTTTGACCCATAAATTATTCAGAAGTATGTTTCGAACTTTCCAAGTATAACTTTTCAAGTTATCTTTTTGTCACTGATTTTTAATTACATTTCAATGTGGGCAAAAAAGTACAGTCTGCACAATATTGACTGTAAAATTCTAGATATGCATTGTGGCCTAGTACATGGTTAATTC